GTGGTTGAGCTGCTGCTGCGGCGTGGGGCGGAGGTCAGCTTGCAGGACAGCAACGGCGACTCCGCGCTGATGGCCGCCGCCAGCAACGGCCACGGGCGTGTGGTCGACTTGCTGATTCGGTGTGGGGCGGAGATCAACCTGCAGAACAGCGGCGGCTTCACCGCGCTGATGTACGCCGCCAACAACGGCCACGAGCGGGTGGCTGAGCTGCTGCTTCGGCACGGCGCTGAGGTCAACCTGCAGAGCAGCGGCGGCTTCACCGCGCTGATGCTCGCCGCCCGCAATGGCCACGAGCGGGTGGTCGATTTGCTGATACGGCACGGCGCGGAGCTCAACCTGCAGAACAACAAAGGCTTCACCGCGCTGATGATCGCCGCCCTCTTCAACCGCCCCGCCGTCGTGCGGCGCTTGCTGCGGGCGGGCGCAGACGCGGCGCGCACTGTTGACGGCAAGACGGCGCTTCAGTGCGCCAAGGAGCAAGGCCACGCCGAATGCGTGCGCGCTCTCGAGGAGCACTCGTCGGCCGCAGCAGAGGCGGAGGGGGAGACGGCAGTGGCCGAACAGGCCGCGGCGGCCGCACGCGAGGTGGCAGCGGCAGCGGAGGCGCGCGATGCTGCCGAGGCTGCGCTGCGCGAGGCGGTGGAGGCGTGCGAGCGAGGCGACGCCGATCTCGAGGCGCTCAGGGCGGCGATCAACGCGAACACCGAAGCCGCCGACGGCTCGGAGGCGCTGCGGGCGGCGCGGCGGCTGCGCGACGAGCTGGCGGAGCGAAAGGTCCGCGAGGCCAGGGCGCTGAAGCGGCAGCGGCAGAAGGAGGAGAAGGCGGCGGCGGCGGCAGCGCGGGCGGCGGAGCGGGCGGCGGAGCAGGAGGAGGAGGCGCGGGCGGCTGAGGCAGCTGCGGCGGCGCGGGCGGCGGAGGAGGCGGAGGCGGCGTCGCGCGCAAGGGAGGAGGCAGAGGCGAGGGCAAGGGAGGAGGCGGCAAGGGAGAGGGAGGAGGCGAGGATGAGGGCGGAGGCAGCGGCGGCGGAGGCGGCGGCTGTAGAGGCGGCAGTGGCGGCCGTGGCGGCGGCGGAGGCTCAAGAGGCGGCAGCGGAGGCGGCAGCGGAGGCGGCAGCGGAGGCGGCAGCGGAGGCGGCAGCGGAGGCAGCGGCGGCGGCAGCGCCAGTGGAAGCGGCGCCGAGCGTCGCTGCCCTCGCCGCCGCCGCCG